GAGAGGGGAGAGGGGGGAGCGAGAGACCCTGTCTCAAAAAAACAAAAACAAAAAAAACAGGATTGAGGTTTTGTTTTTTTTTTTTAAATGGTTGTATCCACAAACTACAAAGACTGTTTATGTTGATGCCTTGCTCAGGTAATTATTTCCAAGCCAGACACCGAATATATATTCCAGATCTATACATCTGACCATTACACATCTTCAACTTCCAAACAAAAGGAATAATCAACCTCACCTAATCCTGTATTCCCTCTCTCTCTCTGGCCTCTAAAGCAAACAAAACAAAAAAACAAACGTGACTCATGTCTGATACTTTGTTCTTCCTCAGTGCTCATTCTGATCTGAAATCAGTATTTTGTTGTTGAGTTTACTTCATGAATAGCTGTTAAAACAGTATCATCCTTTTTAATACCCACTGAAAAGTCTTCAATTAGAACCTTATCATCTCTCACCTGGACTATCATAATCGTTTCTTCATTGGTTTTCCTGCCTCCAGTTTTTTTTTTTTTTTAAATTGTACTTTAAGTTCTGGGGTACTTGTGCAGATCTTGCAGGACTGTTGCATAGGTACACATGTGCCATGGTGGTTTGCTGTCTCCATCTCTCGGTCACCTTTATCAGGTATTTCTCCCAATGTTATCCCTCCCCAACCTCTCCACCCTCTGCTGTCCCTCCCCTAGACCACATCGTATGACACGCCCCTCCCTGTGCCCATTTGTTCTCAGTGTTCAATACCCACTTATGATTGAGAACATGTGGTGTTTGGTTTTCTGGGCTTGTGTCAGTTTGCTGAGAATGATGGTTTCCAGATTCACCCATGTCCCTACAAAGGTCATGAACTCATCATTTTTTATGGCTGCATAGTATTCCATGGTATATATGTGCCACATTTTCCTTGCCCAGTCTATCATTGATGGGCATTTGGGTTTCTACTAGGTCTTTGCTATTATAAACAGTGCCACAATGAACATACACGTGCATGTGTCTTTATAATAGAATGATTTATAATCCTTTGGGTATATACCTAGCAATGGGATTGCTGGGTTAAATGGAATTTCTATTTCCAGATCCTTGAGGAATTGCCACACTGTCTTCCACAATAGATGAACTAATTTACACTCCCACCAACAGTGTAAAAGCATTCCTATTTCTCCACGTCCTCTCAAGCATCTGTTGTCTCCAGATTTTTAATGATCGTCATTCTAACTGGCATGAGATGGTATCTCAATATGGCTTTGATTTGCATTTCTCTAATGACCAGTGATGATGAGCATGTTTTCATGTTTGCTGGCTTCATAAATGTCTTCTTTCAAAAAATGTCTTGTTCATATCTTTTGCCCACTTTTGAATGTTGTTTTTTTCTTGTAAATATGTTTTAGTTCTTTGTAGATACTGAACATTAGTGGTTTGTCGGGTAGATTGCAAAAACTTTTTTCCCATTCTGTTGGTTGCTGGTTCACTCTGATGATTGTTTCTTTGCTGTGCAGAAACTCTTAAGTTTAATTAGATCCCATTTGTCTATTTTGGCTTTTGTTTGCTTTGCTTTTTGTGTTTTAGTCATGAAGTCCTTGCCTATGCCTATGTCCTGAATGGTTTTGCCTAGGTTTTCTTCTAGGGTTTTCATGGTGTTAGGTCTTATGTTTAAATCTTTAATCCATCTGGAGTTAATTTTAGTGTAAGGCGTAAGGAAGGCATCCAGTTTCAGCTTCCTGCACATGGCTAGCCAGTTTTCCTAACACCATTTATTAAACAGGGAATCCTTTCCCCATTGCTTGTTTTTGTCAGATTTGTCAAAGATCAGATGGTTGTAGCTGTGTGGGGCTATTTCCGAGCCCACTGTTCTGTTCCATTGGTCTATATCTTTGTTTTGGAACCAGTACCATGCTGTTTGGATTACTGTAGCCTTGTAGTATAGTTTGCAGTCAGGTAGCATGATGCCTCCAGCTTCGTTCTTTTTGCTTAGGATTGTCTTGGCTATGTGGGCTTTTTGGTTCCAAATGAAGTTTAAGGTGGTTTTTTCCAGTTCTGTGAAGGTCAATGGTAGCTTGATGGGGACAGCATTGAATATATAAAGTACTTTGGGCAGTATGGCCATTTTCACGATATTGATTCTTCTTAACCAGAGAATGGAATGTTTTTCCATCTGTTTGTGTTCTCTCTTATTTCCTCAAGCAGTGGTTTGTAGTTCTCCTTGAAGAGGTCCTTCACATCCTTTGTTAGTTGTAATCCTAGGTATTTTATTATCTTTGTAGCAATCGTGAATAGGAGTTCACTCATGATTTAGCTCTTTGTCTGTTATTGGTGTATAGGAATGCTTGTGATTTCTGCACATTGATTTTGTATCCTGAGACTTTGCTGAACTTGTTTATTAGCTTAAGGAGATTTTGGGCAGAGACGATGGAATCTTCTAAATATACAATCGAGTCATCTGCAGACAATTGACTTCCTCTTTTCCTAATTGAATACCTTTTATTTCTTTTTCTTGCCTGATTGTTCTGGCTAGAACTTCTAATACTACATTGAATAGGAATGGTGAGACAGTACATCCTTATCTAGTGCCAGTTTTCAAAGGGAATGCTTCCAGTTTTTGCCTGTTCAGTATGATATTGGCTGTGGATTTATTGTAAATAACTTTTATTATTTTGAGATACATTCTATCAATACCTAGTTTACTGAGTTTTTAGCACAAAGGGCTGTGTACACCTTGAACTGTAATTTGGATTTGTTACACTAGAGAGCCTGTCACGCATGAATCAGCCAACATTTCTATAACATAAAGCTTTCACCTAAAAAGAAGCAAAGCCGTTGACAACCAAGCACAATGCAAGTTGGAAACAAATAATAAAAGAGGTGTCTGAACAAAATGTAAGTCTGGATACAGTATATAGGTGGCACTGAATAAAATGTTTGTTGACTGAGTGGGTGAACTAATGAATGGGAGATAATCTCAGGTTTCTTCAATGAGTTGCCCCAAAGATCTGGAGAGGGGAAGGTAGATGACTTCATGTGAGTAATAAATGCATAAGAGTAAGGGAATAGGAATGGGAAACCACTGGATGCATGGATAAACTACCAAGTGGCCTAGGCTAGGTAGGTGACTATAGAGCACCTAAAAGAAAGTGTTTGGACCTTCAGTTGTGTGGAGTGCAGGCTTTAAACTTCCTAGGTTTGAATTCTCTCTGGCTCCATCACTTTCATCTAAACGGCCCTGGGTATGCTATTAACCACCTAGTGGTTTTGTTTTATCAGAGCAAAATGGGGTTCAGTCATTCATTTAAGAAACAGCTGGGTACTTACTTTGTGACAAGCACTGTTTTAAGTGCTGGAAATACAACTGTGAATGTTAAAACATCCCTGTCCTCACGGACCTCATAGTTTATTCACACACAAATAACAAATAAATTCAGTCCAATGGCCATAAAAGGCAAAGAAAATGGGCTGGGCATGGTGGCTCACATCTGTAATCCCAGCACTTTGGGTGGCCGAGGCAGGTGGATCATGAGGTAAAGAGATCGAGACCATCCTGGCCAAATGGTGAAACCCCGTCTCTACTCAAAATACAAAAATCAGCTGGGCGTGGTGGTGCGTGCCTGTAGTCTCAGGTACTTGGGAGGCTGAGGCAGAAGAATCACCTGAACTCGTGAGGCAGAGGTTGCAGTCAGCTGAGATCACACCACTGCATTCCAGCCTAGTGACAAAGCAAGACTCCGTCTCCAAAAAAAAGGGCACAGAAAATGAATGGGATGAATCATATGCGGATACTATGTTAGGTGATAAGATAACAACAGCTAATATTTATTATGTGCTTATTTTTTGTGTCCCCCACCAAAACTTGTATACTGAAACTTAATCACCAATGTAAGCAGCAGGAAGTGGGGGGCCTTTGGGGGTGATTAGGTTACAAGGGTAGAACCCTCATTGTTGGATTAGTGTCCTTATAAAAGTGATCCCAGAGAGCTAGCTCACCCTTGTGCCATGCATGTGAGGACACAGAAATAAGGTGCAACCTGGGAGAGGGCCCCCACCAGAACCTTACCATACTAGCACCCTGATCTCTTAGACTGCCTTGTTTCCAATGGAAAATAAATTTTTGTTGTTTATAAAGCTACCCAATCTATGGTATTTTGCTATAGCTGACCAAATGGACTAAGACACTAAGTAACAGGTACTATCTAACTTACTGTACGATTCACTTAATATAATAGGTCAAGAAAAGCCTCCTCCTCTAAAAGTACCTGTATCTCAAAGGGTTGCTGTGAGGCTTAAATGAGGTAACGCCTGAAAGTTCTTAGAACAATGTCTGGCACAGCATAAGCACTCAATAAATGTCAGACATTCGTATATATTTTTAAAGTTTACATGAACTGTTCTTTACTTGATCAAGATTGAGGTTTTGGATTACTTCCTTGAGAGACAAGAATTTTGTGGGTACACAAAAAATAAGCACATGATAAGTATTAGCTGTTGTTATCTTATCAGCTAACATAGTATCCTCATTTGTTTCACTTCATTTTCTGTGCCTTTTTTTTTGAGACGGAGTCTTGCTTTGTTGATAGGCTGGAGTGCAGAAATTTTCCAGTGGCAGGATACTGAAGTATGTTGGCATACATAGACAAGAGCTAAAACAGGAGACAGACTCAAGTGAGATAATATAAGTGAAACAACAAAATGTGGAGGTAGAAAGAACTGGATCAAGAGGAAAGGTGATGGGTTTAACACAGAGAAGATAAGATGTTCCCAGTGACAGTACAGAAAGAACGCTTCTGTCTTTCTGAAATCGCTGTAAAGTTCTTATAGCTAGTGACAATATACAAGTCTTACATCAAATCCTGTAACTGTAGATAACCACGTACGGACAAAAAACAATGACTAGAACACCTTTTACTTGCATGGCAAACATCATTTGCTAAAGACTATAGAACCTGAATTTATGCATCTTATTATGACAAAGTAACTATAAAATAGAAAGACCGACACAGTATCTAGCAAATAGAAAGGTACCAAAGAAAATCCCCAGAGCAGAGGTCTATACAGAATTAATAACATTATTTTGGCTGGTCAGTTACGGTGGCTCATGCCTGTAATCCCAGCACTTTGGGAGGCCAAGGGGGCCAGATCACCTAAAGCCAGGAGTTCGAGATCAGCCTGACCAACATGGCAAAACCCCGTCTCTATTGAAAATACAAAAATTAGCCAGTTGTGGTGGCAGGCGCTTTAATCCCAGCTAATAGGGATGCTGAGGCAGGAGAATCGCTTGAACTCAGGAGGAAGAGGCTGCAGCAAGCCGAGGTCATGTCACTGCACTACAACCTGGGTAACACATGTAGTAGATTCCGTCTCAAAAAAAAAAATAAAGAAACTTTGATTCTCCCTATCAAAGCAGTCATATCAGTTAGTGCTAAATGAAGCAGCAAACAACATGATGAGAAAATACACTTAAGAAAATATACCTCCACTTTGGGAGGCCAAGACGGGTGACTCACCTGAGGTCAGGAGTTTGAGACCAACTTGGCCAACATGGTGAAACCCATCTCCACTTAAAGAAAATACAAAACTTAGCCAGGTGGGATGGCAGGTGCCATCGGATGATCCAATTGAAAGATAAAATTGTGTGTATTTGTCATGTAAGACATAATGTTTTGAAGCATATGTACATTGTAAAATGGTTAACCCTAACTAATTAACAAATGTTTTACCTCACATAGCTATTTTAGTAATTAGAACACTTAACATTCACTGTGTTTTTCAAAAATATAATATTTTTCAAGATTGCAATACCATTAACTATAGTCACCATGCTGTACAATAGATCTCTTGAATGTATTCCTCCTATTCAACTGTAATTATGTAACCTTTGACCAACATCACCCCAATTCTCCTTCACCCCTAACTATGCCAGCCCTTGGTAGCCACCATTGTACTCTCTACTTCTATAAATAGCAAAATTACTTCAAGGCTGTACTTGTCAAAAAATGTAAACATATCATTTCAAGTTCAGATAATATGTGTGTGTGTGTGTGTGTGTGTGTGTGTGTGTGTGTGTGTTTAATTCTTATTTACCTGCAGTTTGAAGACAATAAAGCATATAGAAAACAAAATTTAAACCTGATCTTACCTTTGTAAGATATTCCACTTTCAAATTGTCGATCATCATATTTTTCTGGGATAGCTCAATTTTTAGTAACTGAATATTATGAAGCAATTCTTTTCGTTCAATTAGCTGCCTGGTGATTTTGACTTTACCCTCTCGCTCTTCTGATGAGGAAATATCATCCGTAGGAACTGTTGTTTCTAAACTAATATCTTCAGATTCCAGAGAACTAGAGATGTTCACTTTTTTTGACTCCTTTGAAATTTTTCGAGACATTTTTGTTATTATGGATCAGTTTTCTTCACCAAATTGATTTTAATATTCTGTAGGTTAAAAGACAACATTAATTTAAATGTACTATAAAATTACAGAAATCATGGACTATATTAAAGAGAGACTAAGGATTCCTTAAATAAAAATTAGGCAATTTAGTGGACCACAAATCTAGTACAGATTATTGAAGTAAATTAATGCTCCAATCAAACACATTAATGAATTCCTACCATGAACTCAGCCCTCTGAGGAATTTTGAAAAACAGTTCCTGGGGGAGGAATCTTATTTGGAGGACACAAATAAATGTACAAAATGAATAAAAAAGCCCAGTATAACCAAGCATGGCACTAACAAAAACAACACATGCTCAAAGATAACAGAAATCACTTCTGAGTTGGTCAGGGAAAGGTTACACAAAGGTAGCACTTAGAATCCTGAAAGATCTGGACAGGCATGGTAAAAAGGAGAAATCATGCAAGTATTAACGATATGTAAGTGGAAGTAAAACAACAAAGCCAAGTCTGAATAGTTAACTCCTTCCACCCCCTAAACACACACACACACACACACACTCTTAACGATCAAGAGGAGGGCCTTAAATGTCAACATATGTTTGGATTTTACCCTACAGGCAATGAGGCAACACTGAAGATTTTTTTAAATAGGAAAACAGGAAGACAAAAAAGTTTTTTATAGATAGCAGAATGAAAACAACAGAGTATAAAAAAAATTCAAGAAATTCTAAATAGAACTTCTTACTCTTTCATAAGAACGTTAGCAACTACCTTGTTTTAATACCTAATGATATAACAAATCATACAATTAAATACTTGTCAGTTTTTCTAAACTGAATAAGGAAAGGTGTGTGGAGGAGAAACAGCAAATACTATACTAAGATCAGCCTCCCTCCTTTTTGAAGGCAAATGGGTAAAAGTGAATTCAAAGACAAATCCTCTCCTAGATTACAAAGGTTTCAAGACAGGGAGTGCCCATACGCTCGGCGTGAAAAGTAAGCCCCACACTTGGCAGCTTGGGGAATTCCTTGCCCCACGCAGCAAAGGAGAGATAGCCGCAGGTTACCTCGAAAGCGTCAATTACTCCACACTCAAGGCCTGACCAGCCGCCAATGCAGACACTTAGAGGGACCTCAGACGTCTCCAGTCGGAAGCTCAAGGTTGCAGGGCCCCAACAAGGAATTTTAGGGTAGAGGACCGTTAGAACCCGTAACCAAGGCAACCATCTACGCACTCGCAAGGAGGACGGAAGCAGCGGTGGCGCACACTCCCACAAGCCGCCGGAAGTCAGCTCCCCGGATATCCCGACGCGCGGAAAGCAATGCCCTATGGGAGATGGAGTACAAGGACGAGCCCCGCCCCGGCCACTGGAGGAAATGGCTACGGGCCCCGCCTTGCCGCCCCTCCTCACTCTCACCCAATCCCCGCGGCCGTCAGAGAGCCAACCAATGTTTTTCTCGGCGTTTTCCCGCGAGAAGTGTTACTAATATCCAGGAGCGGGAAGCGGAGAACCTCCGGGTGAGGCGTTGTTGTTTCTAGCTTGACGCCTTTTGCCGGAAGAGCACTGCTGGGGTTAGGCTTCTGCGCGGCGAGACAACATGCTCAAGTCCAAGACGTTCTTAAAAAAGACCCGGGCGGGCGGCGTGATGAAGATCGTGCGCGAGCATTACCTGCGAGACGACATAGGCTGCGGTGCGGCCGGGTGCACAGCGTGTGGCGGGGCGCACGAGGGGCCGGCCTTGGAGCCGCAGCCCCAGGACCCGGCAAGCAGCCTCTGCCCGCAGCCGCACTACTTGTTGCCTGACACTAACGTGTTACTCCACCAGGTGCGTGGGCGGGCGAACCGCGGACACTGCGGCCCCACCGGGACAAGGGGTGAGAGAGATAGGGAAACTGAGGCCCAGGGAGGCGGGTCTTTGGCAGTGTCCCATACCTACGGAGAGGCAAACCCCCTGGGGATCCGAGCTTCCTGTTTCCCAGGCCGAGGTTCTTTTCCTTTAGCTTTAAAAAATTTAGTTCTTGGAGTCGTATTTTAGACACGTTATTTTTCTAACTCCTGGTGTCTCTTCTGCCTTAGATTGTAAGTGCCTGGAGGCCGGGGACCTGGGATTCTGTGGCCTCCAGCCTGCGACTCCCAGGCAGCTTGTAAGTGCCTACGAACAAAAACTATGTGGGCCAACGTATTTCTTTATTAATACCCTTAATTCTACGAAGTTTTGTGATTGGTCTGTTTAAGTGTGCTTTTTTAATAGATCTGAAGGGTTTAATGATTTGTCTCGTTTTCTGTAGCCAAATAGCTCGTTGGCTTAAGTTATTCAGTTTTTTTTTAAAACATAAAGTATTGATGCCCAACATAAAACAGGATTTTATATTTGACAGAAGCAATTTACAAATGAATACAGGAAAAATTGACTTTATTTTTCTTTTTTTAAGATTGATGTTCTTGAGGACCCTGCCATCAGGAATGTAATTGTGCTACAAACAGTTCTTCAAGAAGTGAGAAATCGCAGTGCCCCCGTTTATAAACGTATCCGAGATGTGACTAATAACCAAGAGAAGCATTTCTATACTTTCACTAATGAGCACCATAGGTAGGAGAAATATTATGTTAAATATTAGAAAACCACAGGATTAGCTAAAGTGGGGAGAGGGTTCCTGGGAGTAAATTGTGACCTTGTCAGAAGTTAAGTGATAGATTTCATACCTTATTTGATTCTTACATGCCTGTGCAGAAGATAATGCTAAGTGGATCTCTCTAAGGTCACACAGGCATTGGTGGGCTCAAGCCTGGAACCAATGCTGCTGACTCCTAGACTACAGTAGGTACTTTTATTTCCCAAATGTTTTCATTTCAAATTGGTTTTAGCATGAGTTGGACCGTAGAATCTTGGAAGATGAGATTTGCCTAGGTTCCTGGAATACCATATTATGTGAACAACTAACAGAGAGTAATAAAATGTATGAGTTTGTGAAGGGGAGGTTTAAAAATAGAAAGTAGATTTATTCTTCATGGTCTTTTCAAAAGTTTAATACTGTGTAACTGATTACATTGAGTAAGATTAGGTTAAGGAATAGAATTCTTTGTTATGTTTTGAGATTCAAGACCTTTGAACTTAATGTGTGGTCTCAGAACATATGATATTGCCTATTGTGTTATAATACATAAATAATCTATGGTGGGTATTTATGGTACTTTTATTAGCTTAGATCTGGGTTTCTCAATCTTGAGATTATAGATATTTTAGACTGAATAATTTTTTTGTGTGATGGGAAAGCTGTTTTATACATTGTAGGATGTTTAGCATCCCTGGCCTCTACCCACTCCTCAGCAGCAGTCACCACCCCTTACCCACATCACCACCGTCACTGACTTGTAATGATGCAAAATCCCCGGGGGGGTGGTGGGAGTAAATTCACTGGATTGAGAACCATTGGATTAAGTAAGAGTGTAGAATTCTGGTAATGAAATTCCATCAGATTATGCACGTTTTTTAAATCCTTAATTTCTCGAATTTCTTGATTCTTATATCTCAAACTTCAGTATTCTTGTAAAGAATACCAGTAAAGTCTTTGTAGACTTCTTATTCCTAGTACCTCCTTGAAATCTGGAAATAGAAATATACTTGTTTTTCAGTGCAGAAAGACCCAAGTTTAAAACTAATTCAAAAATTTATGACTGTGTCTTTCACTGATAAGCTTAAAGCACTAGCACCTGGGCATAGTGGCTCGTGTCTGTAATCCTGGCACTTTGGGAGGTTGAGGCGGGCAGATCGTTTGAGGCCAGGACTTCCAGACCAGCCTAGCTAACATGGAAAAACCCTGTCTCTTAAAAATACAAAAATTAGCTGGTTGTGGTGGTGCATGCCTCTAGTCCTAGCTACTTGGGAGGCTGGGTTGAGAGGATCACTTGAAGCTGGGAGGCAGAGGTTGCAGTGAGCTGAAATCATGCCACTGTACTTCAGCCTGCGCTACAGAGCAAGACTGTCTCAGTTTAAAAAAAAAAAAAAAAGCATTAGCAAGTAGTTTTGATGATGGGGAATAAAATAATTCTAGAACTATTAATTTGTAAGTCAATTTAATCTTGTTAAGTACTGTAAGCTATTGTGCTGAACTTTGCTGTTGTACTTAAATCTGGCTTTGATGAACAGGTTTAAAGAAATAGATAAATGTGTTGACATACTTGGGAGTTTAGATAGAAAAAAATATGTAATCAAAACTATTAATGTAGCTGAGTTTTCAGTCTCTACATGGCTTCAGCTATTTATTTATTGTTTACCATGGATAATATCTATGCATTATTTATTAATGATGGTAGAATTCTGATTATAAATGATCTAATTTTACTATTAGTAGCTTTTGGGAATTGCTGCTAACCTACAGTTTGAATGAAATCTGATTATCAGACCTGTGAAATTTTATTATAATTCGTTTCAACAAACTATTTAGTGTCTTAACCTAAAGTATGAGTTCTGATCTTGAATTGCTCTTTTTAGGAAAAAAATTGTATTGGCCTTTTTCTTCTCCCGTAATTAACATAGTTTTCTACTTTTCCAAGCAAATTGTTTTCTTAGAAACTTAACTATAAGAATTCTGGGCCGGGCGCGGTGGCTCACGCCTGTAATCCCAGCACTTTGGGGGGCCGAGGCGGGTGGATCACGAGGTCAAGAGATCGAGACCATCCTGGTCAACATGGTGAAACCCCATCTCTACTAAAAATACAAAAATTAGCTGGGCATGGTGGTGCATGCCTGTAGTCCTAGCTACTCGGGAGGCTGAGGCAGGAAAATTGCCTTGAACCCAGGAGGCGGAGGTTGCGGTGAGCCGAGATCGTGCCATTGCACTCCAGTCTGGGTTACAACAGTGAAACTCCGTCTCAAAAAAAAAAAAAAAAAAAAAAGAATTCTGATCTCTTCTCTGAGATGTACATTTGAATACATTCAAGAGAAAAGATAACCATTGACTTTTTCCTCGTTTCGTGGTTGTTAAGGATTTGTGTGCTAAGAGTTTTCACATATCCTTGTTTCTATTGATTTCCTTTTATTTTGTTTGTTTTTCTTTCCTTTACATTTAGAGAAACCTATGTAGAACAAGAACAGGGAGAAAATGCTAATGACAGGAATGATAGAGCTATTCGAGTAGCAGCAAAATGGTACAATGAACATTTGAAGAAAATGTCAGCAGACAACCAGCTGCAAGTTATCTTCATAACAAATGACAGGAAAAACAAAGAGAAAGCTGTAGAAGAAGGAATACCAGCTTTTACTTGTAAGTCTACATGTAGAAGTAGTTAGTGCATTTTTGCAAATGCATTTAAAAATAATCATCAGGCCTGTGGTCAGATGTTCACTTTAGTATTTTCATAGTCCTATGTAACTTCATGTGATATTTTTGTATAAATTTCACATAGTTTTTAAGCCAAGTATATTGTGGTGCCCAATGACTGTTAATTTTCGCCTATTTGGAACTGATTTAGCAGTGAAAGCTCATAAATATACTGGAACCCCTGCCTCTGCTTAGGGATGATCACATCAACAGGTCGTTGAGTTTTGTTTTTTAAATAAATTGAGGCCAGGTGCTGTAATCCCAACACTTTGGGAGGTCAGGGCAAGAGGCTTGCTTGAGACCAAGAGTTTAAGACCAGCCTGGGCAACATAGCAAGACTGTGTCTCTACAGAAAAAAAAAAAAACCATGCTTGGTGGTGTGTGACTGTAGTCCCAGCTACTCCGGAGGCTAAGGTAGGAAGATAGCTTGAGCCCAGGGCTTCTAGGTTGTAGTGATGTATAATTGCGCCACTGCACTCTAGCCTGAGAGACTGAGTGAGATTCTGTCTCTTAATGAATGAAAGAATGAAATGTATACTGTCACAAACAATGCTATCCATTTTTTTTCATATCTAAGGAAAAGGCACTATCAAAAACAACATAAACTTATTTTTTCAGGTGAAGAATATGTAAAGAGCCTAACTGCTAACCCTGAACTCATAGATCGTCTTGCTTGTTTGTCTGAAGAAGGGGTATGTTTTTATTTTGTTTTTGAAAAGTGAAAGTATTAAAATAGCCACTTTGGGATATTAGGGATATAGTTACCAAATCGAAAAATTGGAATGTCAGTAGGTAAGCTGGATTTGGAATAGTTGCTGTGTTATAAACAAGAGTGGATGTAATAGGCTTATTGAAATGCCATTCCTAAAAGAGCTAACTTTCTGAAATAGATGCATTCTCAGTAACCTGAGTAGGGCCTGGCACATGATAGCACTATTTGGTTGAGAAAAAAATGAATGGAATCCATGGCCGATTCGTTAATAAGGAGTAGCTGTTTGACAAATAAAGAAGTGGCAGGCACTGCAGACAGAGGAAAGAAGAGGGAG